CCCCCAAGCACACACCTCACCTGTTGATTGTGTGCTGTGTCTGTGTCTATTGTCTTCATGAAACAGTAAGCGTGTCTACCTGTGCTCTTCCCACCCAATCTTTTAAAAAAAAAAAAAAAAAGATTTATGCATTTCCATGTCTGGTTGCTTTCATGAACAACTTCCTCCTATGCTATGAGACCAGAATAACTGGATGGTGCCTGACTACCATTATTGAATGTTTTGATCAAAGATTCTATAGTAAAGGACTTCCAGGCAACACGGCACTATAGTCAGAAGCACCATGTCATCCCTCTGCAGCAAAGATCAGAAAAACTAAGTCAAACAGAGTCACACGTCAATCCTGAAACCCTAAGCATCAAATGAAGAGATAAAGAACTCAGCCAAGCACTGAATAGAATAAGAAACTGACCGAGAACAGAGCGCGAGGAAAGATGCATGCAGAGGTCCCCTATCAGCTACAGCAGCACGGATCCACCATCTTGAACTCCTATCAGAAATCAGCAAACAGGAGGTACAAGAAAGCAGCTTCAGGGAGCTTCCAGCAGGAGACAGAACAACCGTCCCTCATCTCTCCACTCCAACAGTAAGCTCGCTTAGCACTCTTTTTTGTTTGTTTGTATTTTTGGGCTCCTGTTCCTCTCTCCTCTCTCTCATATTTCCCATACCCATCTTAGCTCCACACATCACAATCTACCCCCTCCTTCCTGCCTACTTGCACTGTTTGCTGAACATCACACTCCCAAGCAGCACAGGCAAGGCCTACTGGAACCTGCCCTGCACTGATTCCCAGTCCAGACTGTCAGCCCTGGTAAGTGCCACAAAAAACCTATCCCAGCAATTCCCCTTCAGCTGGACCTGCCCTGCTGTACCATACCTGAGTGACTGACCCTGCCCATTGGAGAAGGAGGTGAAAAGTATCACGCACACAGATGAGCAAACAATAAAGAATGCACAGCTTGCCTGCTCAGACGTAACCAAATAAAAGAAAAAAGCAGGACAAAACAAACAAACCTACAATCAATAAACGAGGAAAATAACAACTGAATGCCCCAAAGACAGCAGACAATATCAAAACATTTACAAAAACAGGACAGGATGGTTCCAGTAGGAGTCCAAAATAAAACACCAGATGACTTCCCAGTAGAAGAAAAGGCACTAGACCTAACTGACAGGGAATTCAAATCTCAAATATTCAGAATTATCCAAGAGTTGAAGCAAAAAACTGACAAAAATGGGGAGAAAATAGACAAATTCATGGAAAAGGCAGACAAATTCATGGAAAATACAGACAAAAAAATGGAAGAATTCAAGAAAATAATACAGGAACAAAATGATAAAATAAATTCACAACTAGAAATTATACAAAAACAACAATTAGAAATC